AACAATTTGCACAGGTATGAGTAAGGTGTGAGGAAACCAGAAGGATCATGAATATGTTAATGTGTGCAGGTTCTGCTGGTATGGGTGTGGGGAGAAATGTACCCCACTCCATTATTGATGGGAGCATAGGCTAGTGCAGCCTCTAAGGAAATCAGCTAAGTCATCTGAAAATCAATCTACCATATGACCCAGCTATCCTATTCCTGAGAATGCATCCAAAGTAAGCAAAATCTGCACATGAAAAAGTGACCCAAAATCCTATATTTATAACAGCACATTTCACAACAGTGAAGACATGGAAGCAACCCAGATGCCCACTGAAAGAGAAATGGATAAGTAAACTGTAGTATATCTACTCCATGGAATAACATGTTAAAGATTTATTTTATTTCAGTGAAATAGGCCAATCCCAAAAGGACAAATATCATGTTATCTCTGATATAAGGCAACCATACTGGAAAGTGAAGATACCTGATGTATATACCTGTACTCCCAAATAAAATGAGTACCCCCAACAAAACTGTTAAATATACTTTGACAATAAGATACTAGACTACCATTGTCTATACCTACAATGCCATGACAGACTAAATAGCAGAATGTTGGACTTGTAACTGTTGATGAAAGATTATCCTATTGTATAATAATATGGGGGGAAACAATGGGGTTGAGGAAATGGGGAAGTTGTGGGGAATGAGGATTAGTGGGGTAGGGAAGTCCCTGTGCCTATGGAACCATTCCATAAAAAATTTTTTTAATTAAAAAAGTAAAGCATGTATAGGTTCTTTGCACTCCTTCCATTCTGTTTAGTATTTAATTACTTCACATAAAATATAGAGTAAAAAGTCAGCTGTGCTCTTCACTTTCTTACTAAAGCCAACTTTCAAATCATTAAAGAACAGTCCCCATCCATTTCACTTCCTACATATATTAACATCTCTACCTAATTCATTGTGGCATCAGGGTTCAATACTTCCTGAATCTTGAGGATTTTAGCATAGCCAAAATGTATGTAAAGGAACAGCAGGGGATGAATTTGAAATAATGAGAAGGTGCTGGAGATCCTTCACTGTCATCAGTCCATCTCTCTGTACTATGGCACAGGAGAAAGAAGAGGAGATACTGGAGCCCCTCGCATGTTCATTTTAATTTTATTTTTTGGAATTTGCTTGGTTTGAGAAAAAGCATTGATGCAACATCAGCACAAAAGATGTAGACTTCAATGTATAGCATATTCTATTACAGTGTGACAAAGAAAATTAGGAGAAAAGAAGCTATAACCATCCTAAAGATGTTTAAGCCACCCCCTGCTGTGAGCTGAGAGAATGCAAATTGTATGTTCTCATCTCACTTTGGAAACAAAAGCAAATCCTATTAAAGTTCAACGTATAATATGACCTGCGAATTAAAATTGTTAACCAAATGCCTATTATAGACTTGCTGAATTTTTTATTTCAATTAATAACCCTAAGTAAAAGCTATACGTAAGGAAATCTAAAGCATTAAAAGTTTTTCCAACCTGAGCCACAGTGTCACTTCTGACTATATGTACCAAGGAGACATATGTGCATACTTTTCCTTAAACACTGCTATATTACAAATACATATATTTACATAAGCTTGAATTGAGTTAAAAGAAATAATCACATAATACGCAAATAATGTGAAGGTAAAGCACAACCATTGGCCTCCCATCTATGTTGTAGTCAGGTGCAGCCCAGATCACTGCCCCCATTCCAGCTCTCACCCTTAGCAGTAGGAACCACCACCCAGGTGAAGCATCCCCTTAGCTCCCCCACCAGGCCTCTTCCCATCCACAGATCTTTCTTGTGCCAGTGATTGCTCTGGCCCAGCTCAGAATACCCCATTCCCGTACTGGCCTTTGTCATCAGATGCTGCAGCCTGGCCTGGCCCAGTCCATCCCCCAGTCCCAACTCTTACTGGTGGGTGCTACAGCTTAGCCTTGCCCAGTCTGCTTCCATTCATGCCTCATGAAAACGAGTAGATGTGACAGCCTAGCCCAGCAGGATCTGCACTCCAGCCAGGCTCCTGCACTTGCCAGTGAGCTAAGATTGGCCTGAGCCTGTCTAGTCCAACTGTCTCCAGAACCCAACCCGACTTGCCTACAGATAGAGCTACCTTGTCCAGCCTGACCAACACCTAGGCCTGAATCACATGCTCACCTGCAGCAGCCACAGCCCACCAGGGGAGTTTCCCAAGATCCCCCACTAGGCCTACTCCCAACCCCAGATGTCACATGTGCCAGTGCATGCTAGGTCCCAGCACAGTCTGCCTCCTCCATCCTGGTTTATGTGTGAATTGGTAGATGTAGTGGCCTGGCCAGCTCCACACCCTCTTCTTGGGTGCACCTGTGAGTGTTCCAGCCTGGACCAGCCTGGCCTATTCCCAACCCAGTATCCACGAGTGTCAAAGGATTTGATGGTCATGCCATCTCAGCCTGTCACTACCCCTATCCCTGAAGCAAACCAATGGAAATTGTGGTTCCACAGGTGTGGGACCTTATATCCCCCACAGAATCTGCCCTCAGACCTGGTTCTCTCACGTGCTGGTTAGTGTCAGGACCTAGCTTAACATTATCCATCCCCTGTTACGATACTCACTGGTGGATACTGTGATCTAGCTCTGCCAGGGAGGCCCTTAGCCCTAGCTTTAGTATGCTTCAGTGAGTGGTGGTTGGCTAAGATCCATGCTAACTAGCCCAGCTCAGGTCTTCCACATTGGTAGGTGTATCAGTGTCACCCATAAGAGCCCTCCAACATTCCCCCACCAAACTGCTCAGCCTCAACCCCATTGCTTACCTGCAAGCACAGTGGCTTTGTCAATAGAAATCCCTCAGAAGGCATTCCTCACCTGCAACATACTCTGAGAGTGGTACTCACTCCCACACAACCCTTTGCCCCATTCCGTTTTCACTTCACAGTCTCTACACCCACGAGCGATGGGTTCCCCAGCTCAGTTTTCCAGTGTGGTGGTGTGTTGGCCTGGAGCTCTTCCTGCTTACTAGGGTCCCAAGTTCCCAGCATGTGTGCTGGCCTGGGGACATCATGCCTCCACACACCCAAGATCCAGGCCCATTCAAAATTCGCCAGTCCTGGTCCACCAGCTCACCAAGCCAGCATGCTATCCTAGGGCTCTCCCTTCCCCTGCTCCCACCATAATATGGACAAAGCATGTGGGAAATCCCCAGGCTGACTCCGCCTGTCTAAACATGAACCTCCAGCCCCCACAGGTCCCCATCTGTGCCACACCCCAGGGCCCCTGCAAGCCTGCACCCCTAAGGCCCCACAAGCCTACTGCCCCCTGGGCTTGCCAGGTGCCAGTAGTAGGCACAGTCATAATTTTAAGCAATTCCATATTCACAGGCTTGACTAGCCTCTAATCATAACACCATATTTCCACTGGAGTATAAACATGGACTGAAAACAAAAATTCAATCCCTAAGAAGCAGTTTCATTCTTACCCATTTTTGTATATTCTATATTAGCTTCCATATTTGACAGAAAACATATGATTCGGTCTCTTTGTAACTGATTTACATCCCTAAGCCTAATGGTTAACGAGAAAAACAAACTAATATCAAAATGGGCTATATACAAGATGCTTCACCCCTGAGTATATGAATCCCATGCTTTTACTACTCACCTCTTCTCTTTGGCCTTTAATTTAGACCCATTATGGAAAACACGTTTCTTTTGAAGAATAATTTGCAATATGGGACAGAACAGACCCAATCCTTTAATACTAGTCTATAAACCCTTGCCATATTAAACATTCTCCAACTGCTATAAAAATAAATCTCAGAATCTTGCACATTTATAACATATACAAGAAATTTATAAAACAAGGATAAATGCTAGAAGGAAATATCACTTTCTCGTTCTTTTTTAAAGATTTGCTTTATTTTTATTGGAAAGTCAGATATAGAGAGGAGGAGAGACAGAGAGAAAGATCTTCCGTCCGATGATTCATTCCCCAAGTGACCATAACGGCCAGGGCTGCGCTGATCCGAAGCCAGGAACCAGGAACTTCTTCCGGGTCTCCCACACAGGTGCAGAATCCCAAGGCTTTGGGCCATCCTCAACTGCTTTCCCAGGCCACAAGCAGGGAACTGGATGGGAAGTGGGGCTGCTGGGATTAGAACCGGCGCACATATGGGATCCCAGCACATTCAAGGTGAGGACTTAAGCCACTAGGCCACGCCGCCGGGAACCATTCTTTTTTAAACTCTGCAAATGAATCTTGAAATCAAGCATAACTTGACAATTATCTAGCCATGTTTCAAAGTGGAAGTATCTATTAGAAATGCCATGAGTATTGAGACAATGATTCCCTTTTAAATGTCCAGAGAATACCTGCATTTTTCAGTTACTCTAAAGATAATCATTACATTATTAATTTTGTAAGAAACACACATCTTTTCCCCATCAATCCCAAATAATCCAAAACATCATGTTGAGACTTACTGCTAAGCCTTTTAAATAACAAAGCCTATTTTCTGATTATTTTCAGGAATATTTATATAATAATAAAATCCTCCCGAGTACTGAAATTTTCTATAAGTACGCCATTTGTGGAGTGATTCAATAGGTAAAAAGGTGCTCTTTCTCTCTCTCTTTTGCTCTTTCTCTTGCACTCTCCCTCTCTGTACCACTGTTTCCAATGACTAAGTATATCTTTAAAAGTAAAAGCTCAAAAATGATTTTAAAGTTTATCTCTGATATACACTTCTGATATTTAATATACTAAAAATTATTAAATATGTAGCTTAACATGAAATGTTACATAAGTTCATCTCAAATATTTAATGTAAAACAGCAATGTGTACAGGAAAAATTATAAATATGCTTCAAGGTTTCAAGTCTTATATTTTGTTACCTTGTTATTAATTAGAAGAGCCATAATTGAAAGGTCAAAATTTGAACCAATTATAAAACATTTAAAAAACCAAAGAGAAGACACTAAAAGATGGCATAACTTACCACGTTACTGGATAGGTGGGAACATCACCAAAATGTGCATATTGCCAAAAGTTATATGCAGATTCATCACGACCCAATTAAAATCCCAACAACATTTTTCTGAGAAATAGAAATGATGATACAAAAGTTCACCTGGAAACACAAGAGACCACAAATAGCCAAAGCTATCCTGAAGGATAAAAATCAAGCTGGTAGATCACAATTCCAGAACTCAAGACATACTACAGAGCAGTAGTTATCAAAACAGTCTGGTACTGGTTACAGAGACAGAAAAAAGACAAATGGAATAGAACAGAAATTCCAGAAGTGAGCCCACACATACACAGTCAACTAATCTTTGACAAAAGAACTGAAAACAATCCAGGAGAAAAGTCTGGTCTCTTGAACCAATAGTGTTAGGACAACTGGATAGCAGCCTCAGAGGTCAAAGGAAAGAACCCGACCTGTCACCTTATACAAAAATCAGTTTTAAATGGATCATGAACCTAAATCTGTACCCAGAAAGCATAAAAAATTATTAGAGGAAAACATAGGAAGCACCCCACAAGATAAAGGCATTGAAAAGACTTCTTAGAAAAGTCACCAAAAGCACAGATAGTGAGCCAAAATAAACAAATTGGACTACATCAAACTAAGAAGCTTCTGCATAGCATAGGATAAGATCAACAAAGTGGAGAAGCAACCAACAGACTTGGAGAAAACCTTTGTACACTACACAACTGATAGGGGACTAATATTCAGAATTTACAAAGAACTTCAGGAACTGAAAAACAGCAAAACAAAAAACCCTCATGAAGAAATGAGTGAAGGAAATGAACAGATATTTTTCAAAAGAACAAATTCAAATGGCTAAGAGACATGGAAAAAAAAATGTCCAGGCTCTCTAGCCGTCAGGGAAATACAAATTAAAACCACAATGAGTTTCAACCTAACTCCAGTGAGATTAGCCAACATTCAGACCTCCACTAACAACACCTCCTAGTGTGTAGGCTAGGAGAAAGATACCTTGCTTCACTGTTGGTGGGAGGGTAGGCTAGTACAACCACTATGGAAATCAGCATGAAGAATCCTAAAAGAACTGAAAATTGATCTAGCATATAAGTCAGCTATCTCACTTTTGGGAATATATCCAAAACAAAAGAAATCTGCATATGAGAAAGTGACTTGTAATGCTATGCTTAAGCCAGCACAACTTAAAATAGCAAAAACATGGAAACAACCCAGACGCCCTTTCAAAAAGGAGTGGATAAGGAAATGGTGGCATCTCCATGGCATACTATTCAGCCTTTACAAAAAATGAAAATCTACCCTTTACAACCAAATGGACCCAACCTGAGACCATTATACTCCGCAAAATAAATCAATCCCAAAGGGACATATATCATTTGTTCTCTTAGATATAAAGCAACGTTCATGCAAAATATAAAATCAATAGCCCTTTCAATACTGTTTGTGATACATCTCAGGGAGTTTGATATTTTTGTTATTATTTTAATTTCTTCTAAACAGTTACTTTTTCTTCTTACTATTTTTTTTCACTGATTCATAGGTCATAGAGTAGTATCGTTTGCTCCAAGATTTTTTTATTTTCTTTTTCATTTCTTCAAGAACACACTGGTCATTCAGTAGCATGTTATTTAACTTTATGGCATTGTAAAGTTCCTACTTTTCTCTCTGTTGTTTTCTTTTATTGTTCTTCATTTAAGGGGATGCATAGAAACTGTGTAATGAGACTATCAAATCCAGATGTGAAGATACAATGCAGTATGCATCTCTACTTCCAAATCAAAGATGGATTCCTAATAAAACTATTAAATTTATCATGACAATAAGATGCTGGACTCTCTGCCATTGTCCATACCTACAATGTCAGGATACACTTAAAGAGCAGAATGATGGACTTATTATTGTTTATAAAGACTATACTATTTTAATAATACAGGGAGAATCATTGTGAGGGAGGAGGTTTGGGGAGGGAGGAAGGAAAATCCCAGAGCCTATGTTACTGTATCATAAAACAAAAAACAATCTTTTAAAATTATAATAAAAAATTAAGAGATATACTGATAATAAAATAAATTGTGTATAGAGTAGGACTAGGACAAAAGTAATCCTTCCTACTCTTCTCAACATTTAAATATAAAATGCAAGTTATAGAAATATGCTAATGTTCTTAAAATTAATTCTCATTACAATCTACATTTAAAAGCATGCATATTGACCTCGAAACCTTAAGCCATACTAATTAACTCTAGCAGAATTTTTAAAAGATGTGTAAGAGTGGAAAGAAAAAATAACAGGCATTAAACATGTACTTGACTTTCTCTTCTTCTTTGAACAGATAATTTGATCCTTACTCAGAAGAAACGTGAACACCATATTTTTAAAGCATAATCTACCTTATTTTATAATTCTTGATTTAATGATAATGGCAATATGTATTTTTCAAAATAAAAATCAAATTTTAGAGGATTTTTTCAAAGATATTTGGGCTTGGAGAAATGAAGTAGGTCTATGACCACAGAAACAAGAATCAGCCATCTTCCACAGAAGGAAAGCAAGTCTTGTCCATGACGTCAATTAGATGCTGTATCTAGATTTACAGGTAAAGTCAACTGCACTAGTTAGGTTATTTATGCAGTGACCATTACAGAATTATACCCTCTAATCTCTTCCACTGTTAGAGTTCTACAATTTCCAATTATGGTATTTGGCTTCCTCTGTTTGCACATGGATCCAAAAGACCAGATACATAAATTTCTTCTTACAGTTCTTCCTTCACTCAAGAGGAGGTCTGACCAAATAGATGTCACTAAATATCAAAGACACAGCCACAAAACTGGTTCATTCAGTTGATAATTTTCTGAAACCCTTACAGTCATACTGTATCATCATATATGCAACCACAATTAGAGATGTTCTTTCAAACAACCAATCCTTCCAACTAGGATAGACTTTCTGGATGGATTAAAATACTGTTTTGCCATTTCAAATGGATCATGTATAATTTGCAAGGCTGATATAAATTACAACAAATTACCCAACCTGGTCCTTTGGCAGGATGCACCTGATAATCTCCAGATCCATAAACATACAGGAAGGAAGGGGTTATGGAAAAATCAATCTGTTAGGCTCTTCCACTAAAGACTCTGTGTTATTTTCCCTTATCACTTTTTCTGTTATTTTCACCTCAGAAATATTGCTAACGTAACACATATTTGCCATATGTAATAGCTATAATTATCGCGTGAAACTGAGTAACAACAAAAACTAGCACACTGAACTGTTACAAAGAATTAAAAGAAGAGTTCACAGAACTCAGGTGGATTATGGGCATCAGCGACTAGAAGAGTCACAAATGTGTGTACTATCTAGAACTGCAGGAATTGGCTTTGTGACAAAGCAGATGAAGCCCTCAATTATAACACTGGCAACTCATGTAGAGTACTATTTCAAATTTCCATCTACTCTATTTCTGATCTAGCTTCCTACCGAAGTGTCTGGCAAGGCTAGAGATGACGGCTCAAATGCTTCAGCCCCTGCCATCCACGTAGCAGATCGGGGTCAGGTTCCTGACCTCTTGTTACAGCCTGAAGCCAACTCTGCTTACTGAACCAGAGGTTCATTATGGGTGTGAACCAGAGAAGGAACTCTACTTCTCCTGCCTCTTCCTGATACTCTGCTATTCAAACAAACAACAAAAAATAAATATTTTTAAAAGTTAAAAAAAAAAACCCTGAGTGCAAAAAACTAGCAGCATGGAAATATTCTGTATTTAAAAGCAGGATTTCTTATATACTCAATCACTTTTCTTTTTACAATTACAAGTGTACATAGTAATTTTAACCATATATATTAACTATACTAAGGAAATGAATATTGTTAGGCTCATTGGGAAATAAGTAATACACAATATTTATGCTAAATACTAATATAAAAATTGAGAAAAGACCATGTTTTTCAGAAAAGTTAATCTTGCTACACGTTTTTTATCAGGCACAGGAGAAATCTGTTTTCTGTCTGGTTCAGGCACTGGAGTGAAGTGACTGACTCTCAGAGCAGTGAACATCAGGCTACATTTTTGACATAGTTTGAATCTAACATCTCAGGTGGGGAGGAAAGCCATTTGAGTTGGTAGTTTGTTTTCACAGTGATAAATGAGCTAAAAAAAAAAGAAAGAAATAATCATCTTCCAATACTGTAAAATATTCAGCATTGATGTGTGTTATGCATCGAATTATGTTCCCCCGAAACATAACGTGGAGTTCTAACCCTTGTGGACTGACACTGTGTGCGACCTTATTTGACAATGGTATTACGGAAGTGATCACATTTGAAATCATGTTATTAGAGTAGGCTTTCAAGTGTTTACTGGTGCCCTTAGAAAAAAAGGAAATTCAGTCACAGACATGCGTGCTCAGGAAGACCATTGTGTGAATACTGCATTTACACTGCCACAAACCAGGAAACAATTAGTGTGTCTGTTGTTCTGAGTTGCTATATGTTATTACTAATTGTCATTCAGAAACTGGGTCAGTGCGCCTTCTAGATGACATACTTCCTAGGCTGGAGACTATGAGAGGTTCTTTTTTTTTTTTCCTTTGGAGGGTGTTACATTTCTGCTGGGCTGAAAACTGAATGAAACAAGTTAGTTTGCAACCAAATTTAGGAATAGCCTTGGGATGATCTTAGAAAAGGAAAGCATTGCACCTTGCCTCATGACTAAACCCTCTCCAGGTGCCTGCATTCCATATTAAGTGTCTGAGTTTTAGTACTATCTGTGCAGACACACAAATTTGGAGGATAGGATTCCTTGCCAGTACAAAACCATAAACCAGCTGTAAACCTGTGAGAATGCTCTGGGAACTCAGGGCAAAGGTCTCGCAGCCCTTGGAATGGAAATGCATGCGCCAGGAACTCCCTAATCTTCAGGCTTAGATGACAGACCAAAGAGAGGCACTTCTTCTCCCACAGGTTGTTTAATTATGAGTAGCCTGTCAGAATACATTGTTTGTTAGTTGAGCCCCTTTGCATGCCTGTGCGGAAACTGTACTGATTCAGACCCACCTTCCTTGTCTATGTGACCCTCAGTCTTTAAAAATCTGATGCTGTTAATAGACTTCAGCCATTGA